TATTAAGTGAATCGAACAAGCATTTCCTTTATGTTAAATGTATTTTAATAAACGAGTAAACAAATCATGCTCAAGTTTGGACTAAATGCCAAAGAATGCCAGTTAATCGATCAAAACAATTTTAAATAGATTTGTCGGCATCTTTAAGTCCGACAATTATTTTTGGCGGCATTATCAAGCTTTGAATTTTTAATTTTTCCGGAAATGTCAGTCGCTCGCAAACGGATCACGATCATTACCCATCGATATTCTAAGCTTCAATTGTATTTCTTGCGGCTTTTCAAGAAATATTGAGAATAGACATTAGACAGATAGACACAAAGACGGACAGATGGTCAAACTGAAGACAGAAGTGTGTGCTTATCGAGCATGTGTATATAGAGAGGTTGAAAGAGTTTCCTCTGCCCTATCATCATAAGGAATAGATCTCTTTCTCTCGGCAGAAGGTGTAAAAATTGTAAAAATTTTTATTAATTACTGTTGTGTCTGGTAATAAATCGCCAGTTAACGTGCCCTGTGGAGCTTGCGAGTTTTTTCTTTTTTCTTTTTTCGTGGACAAGTTACGGTCAATGTCGCCAGAAGTTGGCATTTAGATGAATTTTTTTGCGATTCTAAGAATGCCAACAATAATTAACTGGACAGACAGACATGATATTTCGAATTGATCAAGCGCATCTTATGCGCGCTTATTTTCAAGTTACTACTTAACGAATGATATAATAGAAAGGAAGAAAACATCCCTACGGTGAATGAGTGCTTATTTTGTCTTGGGTTATAGAAGAAGGAGACTAACCCTTTCTATGCCTCGCATCGTCCCATTCTCTTCGTCATAAGGCATTGCATATAGATTAGGCATAAGGTGAAAAGAAGGTTACTGAGAAGAAGAATGAGAAGAATAAGTGTCCTTTCCCCTTCTTTCATCGTCCCATCCTATTCGTCGTAAAGCATCGCATGTAGAGTAAGTATATAGAGTGAAAGGTTTTCGCCCCGTATATGCAACTAAATGACGGTGTAATGTGTGTGTTGTCTCAATAAAATCGTACAGTTCCTCTATCACAAATTACACTACTACGTATTACTAACATTGTACATATTCCGTTTACTTGTCTCAACGGAGGGCGGATTGAAAGTTAAAAAGTTAAGCATGATGAAAAAGTTTATCTGGATGCGAGCGCCATGATTACCTTACCGTAGTCTTCGTTTCATTTCACTTTCAGTAAATCGTTTGCTTTTCTATTTTTTTATTTCATTTATTTTTATTTTTTTCTTTCTTATAAAATAAATGCTAAATATACATCTATTCGAAATATTTGTTTTGAACGATAAATCAATGATTTTTTTTTTTTAAATTATAATTAATTCATTTGACAATTGGTAAGCACTTATTTTTGCTGCTAATCGAAATCATTTGTTTTACCACATAATGCAATGCTGTCGTTCACTTTATTTACACATACATCGGATAGTCTCTATTGCCATAACTCAACAATTCCTTGAGCTAATTATTGATTACAATTTCTTAATAGTGCAACTAACGTGTATAACATTCGACAAGAACATAACGTTTATATACATATATATGTATACATATATATAACGACCATCCCCAGCATTAAAAAGTACATTAGAGTGGGTGTTAAGTAGAAATTAATAAAATGAAATTTTAAATTACATTTAGGTTTTGTTAATTTAAGGCTCTTTGCCAAACAGAAATAGAATTTCAACTATTATAATACGATTGGTTATCCTTCATTGATATGGCTACCGCCTACTGAAATCCTGAAAAGTTATCTTGGTTAGCTTTCTACATGTATATGCAACGAAAGCATATAAGTGGTGAATTTAATTAGTGACAACTTGTTCTAATCTCATCAAAGAAATTTGAAATATTCATTGGATCATAGGTCAGGAAATGCTCATAATAAGTTGCTTGGCTTGGAACTTGCATATTTTTTTCGAAATCAGATTTTTCATCTCTCGCCGTTATCAAGATTTATGTTATGAAAGAAATTACGGGCTTGGCTTCCGGACTTTGCTTGTAGCTTTTTTCCAGCCAATAACAGATGGGACATCAGTGCAGAGACGGACGTAGAGACGGACAAAGGATCAGAGAGGAGACCAGCCGGAGAGGCGAGCAGAGGAATAAACAACAGACGTAAAGACGGACCGAAGGATGGAAACAAGTAGACGCACGGATACTGAGAAAGGATATAAGCACCGACAAAGATAAATTGATTTCGAAAATTAAAATTATCAAAAATATATACAATTTCTCATGTCCCCGATCAATATCCGATTTCTAGGAATTGCAAAGGGATTAATAAGTGCAATACAACACCATTCTGATGTGCTCCATATACATATCTAACAATCGTATTCACGGCTCTAGTTGTACGTAAATTTTTAGCAACAAAAATGTTGCGATCTATGCCGGCCTAGGTACATAAGTCGAGCCTCAAGGCAAATGTAATTTTCTTCATTACTATCTACACCACGTCAGCGTTAACCGATGAACATCGCTTTACTTTCTTCTTATAATAATCATTTTTGTTTTTCTATTTTATATAATACGGCGGTTAAAGTGATGATGGTGGCAATGATTTTGGGGGCTTGCGCTAAACTCATTTAAAGAATTACCAATGTATAAATCGCAAATGTAATGTATATCCAATTAGAGCTGAATTTACTACTGGTAGACAGTGCATTAATTATGCTCTGTTTAGTTACTTGTCTCGGTGATCGAGTTAGCGAAAATTCAATTCAATTTTTCAGCAAAAAAAAAAAAAAAATATATTTTGATTTGAAATTATTTTTAAAATATTTGGGCGACGCTTTGTCTAAATTGTACGCCTTGCACTGCATTCTCGTCGATTACATTTACGCTTCTTTTCATTTTCATTATTCTAAGCTGCAGTCTAATCTCGTACATGTGTACACATACACGATATGGTTGCTGTTGGTAGCAAACAACAACAGCATCTTACACGACATAGTTGTTATCAACTTGTATAAACACAAGTGTATGCTTTTTATTCGTATCATCCCCCATGATTGGGCATATAATCATTTCATTATAACACATGTAACGTTTCAAATATCACATATTTATGACCTAAATATGTCCGTCTCTTTTCAAGAAATAAATGGATATTTACGTTTGTAATTAGTGTTTAAGCAAACAATCCAATTGTATTTGTTCCTCCTATCTTGTATTCCACGCCAATTGGCCGCATTGTTATGATCGTAGAGATTGAATGTGCTAAAGAACATAAAAGTTCCTAACAGTTAACCTAGACGTGGCATTGCAATGATTTGTGCTCTACAGCTGAGCAACAGCTGATTACCAAAGGTATGCTTATGGCCGCTATACGGTCTTGCTCTCGGGAATGTGATTTACGCAAAGATCAGAGGCTGAATGGCCAACGCGTTCTTCGCTAATGCACAAAAAAAGGATTCTGAAAACTGACTGAGGCCGATCCGCTTGCAATAGTTACAGAAAGCAATCTCAGTGAACTTATACACGCATGAAACCCTTACTCGCTCATATTTAAGAAATTAATTTTTCATAAAATTAAAGAGTGATTAAGGGCAGCTCGTTAAACTTGCGACTAATCTTACTTGCATAAGATTAGAGTGCAGGGTGTCGAGTATTCGTTTTAATTTGGGCATAGCTTTTTCGCTTGTTTTGTACTCCGAAAGATCTTTTTACACACATAATAAATTCTCACATACGTAATTATTAAAAAGATGTGGCTAAGTTACAGCAATATCATCATCAATGGGTCTTTTTTTAGCTTTTTCTTTTTTTAGTTTTCTTTTTTGTTTTCTTTCTTTGCGTTTTTCTTCCTTTTACCGATGTAATTTTCTTTAAAGGACCACCTAAGTAGATAAAATGTAATGATAAGAAAGTTTAGTGTTTATTATGAGAATGAAATGATGTAATGAATTTAAATAAGAAGAGGAAGCAAATTCATCGTCTCTGTACTAAAAAGGCTTTTTGTCATTTTTGGTTTTTTATTTTATTATTATTTTTTTTTTTTTTGCTTGTTGCTAACAAAAAATTAAAGGTCTTAAAGAACTTCTTCTTCTCTTCAGGTTTCTATTTATATTCTCACGCTAAAATCTTTATAGAAGAAAAATTTTGCTCTTTTTTCTAATAAAAATAAAAAAACTCTTTAAAAGAAAAAAGCTAAAAAATCGAAAGTGATAACAAAAAAATTAGGAAATCTACAAAAAAAAAACAGCAAAAAAAATGAATTAAATAAAATAATGAATTCTTCATGCGTATCAAATAAAATGTGTGGTGGAGATGATTATGTTGATGATCCTTTTTGTTTTTTTTTTTTTTTTTTTTCGAAACTGGTTTCGCGCAGACAATCGGTATTGAAATTCTGACAGCATTTACGTAACTCATCCCTCCCTTAAAGTTGGTATAAAGCCTCTTCAAAGCGACGCATATATATATATATATATACGATTTGATCGTATATGAATAACACTATTTAGCTATACTCAGACAATATTATCCTTATGTAGATTAGTTTGATTGTAGGGTCGTGGCGGCCAGTTTTTTTCTTTCTCTTAATCATTTGTGTATTGGTTTTTTATGCAGGCTTTTCGTGTACACAGATTCATTATTTGCTTTGAATTTTTTTATTATTTTGTGTTTTACTTTTTACTTTTTTTTTTGTTTTGTTTTCTCGTTTCCTTAGACAAGTTTAATGAAAAAAGGGTTACGGTCCGCATAAGTCCGTTCGCTCAGTATGCGTTTTTTTTTCTTTCGTTTTTTGTCGTTGCTTAAAGCAAAAAAAAATCTCTTGTTTTTTTCTCATTTTTTTGCAAGGGTTTTTTAAAACGATGAGAATATATTTTGGAATATGAGTTTATTTTTTTTTTTTAAATCCTTATTCAAAAAAAAAATTAAAATCTGGTATAATTAATTTATTTGGTGTGAATTATAATTTTTGAATGGATTTTTTTTCTTTATATTAATTTTATAGTGGTGGCTACTTCTCGGCCGAGCAACGAGGCTGAAGTGCAATTGTATCGTGTTTTGCAAAAAGCGAGTCTGTTAGCTTATTACGACACTTTATTGGAAATGGGTGGCGATGATGTACAACAATTATACGAAGCTGGCGAGGAGGAGTTTTTAGAAATTATGGCTTTAGTTGGTATGGCTTCAAAGCCGTTACATGTTCGACGTTTACAAAAAGCGTTACACGAATGGGCCAATAATCCTCAGCAATTTCAAACGCCTGTTGCTAATAATTCCGGTAAGTACGCAAAAGAGTTAGAATAGAAAAAAACCAAATAAAAAGGCCACGAAAACATTCCACCGCTAAACTTTTTACATTGGCTTCGATAGTCGATGGCTGGTTTCTTTATTCTGTTATACCTACGATCGACTATTACGTTTATATTTGAATGTTCATCGTTCCGATCTTTTCTTTTAAATCAATTATTATATTCGAGGATTCACAGTAAAACATTCAAGTTCACGTTTAGTTCAATTTGAAGAAAAAGGAATGTGTTTACCACACAAATTCATGGCCCTGGAAGATGGTCAAGGGAAACACGGAAAACAATCCATTCCCGTCACTGGAATACTTCATTCAAAAGTTTAGAAAATTCTGTATCTTTATCCCTTGAGAATTTAATTAGCTTATGCCGGCGTTCGAGCAAAATTTTACCTTTCACTGATCGAATTCGATGAAATGTCCAGAACATTTTTTGCTCTGTGCTTTTAGATAGTTTTAGTAAACATTTAAGATAATTTTCACGGCAAAAGTTGCAGTCATTCAAAACAAACCTAATGCAATGTACGGCTTCTCTTTGTCGCGCCAATATTCGTGATCGTGCTACGAGTTTCACTTTGAGACATGATCTCTGGCAATCAATTGAGAATTTATAGGGAAACTGCAACCTTCTCTTTCGCTTCCACAAAATACGAAACGCAAACATGAGTAGTAGAATATATCGTTAATCAGCAATATGCACATAATGCTTAATTATAGATAATGATGATTTTAATTTAATTTCACACACTGAGGCTAATTTCTAAACTAAGTCAAACTCTAATATCGATTCGATAATTTTTAAGCTAAGAATTGTTCGAGTTTTGAATTTATTTATTAAAATAACTTTTAATGGTTGAATTTTTTCCGTTTTAGGTCAATTTGATACGCCCGCAAAATCATCTATCATATTTAATACAGAGCCTTCGCCGTCGCCCTCTCATTGTGGACCACGACCGAAATTTCCACCTTTTAATCCCACACCAGCATTTAATCCCACTCCGCTTATGAACACTGTCCCACCCTCGACATCTGCTCATCTACTTTCACAGATTTGCTCTTTACCCGCAACAATACAACCACCTAGTGGCCCCCTAATAGTACCCCCAACTGGTCCATTGCCTAATGAACGTTCACATCCCCTCTTAGCCAGTCAAACTTCTACTACAGCTAGTGGAGTAACACCTTCGAATACCTCTCACCAGGTTACGTCTAGTTCTCCTCAGCTCACACCAGTATTAAGCGATATGCAAGTGGCCCGAATAACTGTAGGCGCGGAAAAGATTGCCGCCCAATTACCGCAACGTGAACCGCGAGCTCATACCTCAAAAAAACGTACTTCACGTGAGCTGGAACAGGTAATAGCTATGAGTGAACATGATCCTAGACGCATGGACGAGATACGTAAGTATTCGGCTATTTATGGGCGATTCGACTGCAAACGTCGCCCTGAGAAGCCGCTCACGTTACACGAAGTCTGCGTAAATGAAGCTGCCGCTCAATTGTGTCGTCTTGTACCCGCGTTGTTGACACGTCGCGATGAGCTATTCCCTTTGGCCAGGCAAATCGTTAAGGACGCGGGTTTTGGTCATTCAGCGAGCATAGCTCGTTACGGTAATCTTTTAACGCAGATGACACAAAACTCTGCCCTACCGTCTGTCTCAATGGCCGGAACTATCCGTTCATCAATAGCTATAATTGATTGCGAATCGAACGAATCGAATTCGACTCCTTTAAAGCGGCAACGTCTTACGTCGACCGATGCACCAGCTAATTTAACGAGTTCGGATAATAATCGGGTAAGAATTTTTAAATCTGAACAACGTTAGAAATGAAAGGAAAACGTTTCATTCATTATGAGCTTTACATACAATTGCTTACATGCTTTTGGCTTTCTATATATACATAACAAGCAACCTGCCTCAGATGTAGGTTAGCTTGTCTTTCTTGCTTTCAGCTTGCGCGTGCTTTGCCTTGGAACAGCTTAGAAATGAAAAGAAAAAAAGAGTACAAAATGGTTTGGTGTATCGTGCGATGTTCAAACTGTCTCTCTCTCAAAACTGTGTTTCTATATTCAAGTAAAACCGAGAAATTCCTAATCAATTTATCTCTCGAGCTTAAGAAACATACTAAAAAGTTCGCAAATTGTTTTTCTTTTTTATCTTCTTGCAAATATCCAAATAATAAGCTGAGTTCAACACTAACAAAGAAAAAAGGTTTCAAAATCGCTTCGAATTGTTGGTAATAAAAGTAATTCCGTTGAATACTATTAACTTTCTGTAGCCTTGAGTGATTTTTTGTTTCTTTTTATTTTTGTTGTAACCAAGATTGCAAGAAAAGTTGAGTGATTTTGTCAAACGCGAAGATTTACATAAAATCCTTACAAAAATATTTCGAAAATATTTTAACATTTTTTTTTTTTTTTTTTTTTTTCGTATTGCGAGACATGGCCGTGTGTGATCGCCATTCATTCTTACGTTTCTTACGTATTGAAAGAATTGCCTTTAATTTTAAAGACTTGCACATGATTTTGTGTTTTTAAGCAAATAACAAGGATTTGACTCTGGAGCAAAAAATTTATTCGTGAACATATTAAAGAAAGTTGCATGGAAGACCGTACAGAATATAAGCAAAACGGCGCAAAGGAAGAATGACATTTTTATAACATATTTAGCAAAAAAATTCGCAAACAGCAATCTATCAGTTAGGGTTCCATAAATCTAGAACCATAAACCTAAACCTGGCTAGAGGTCTTGCTAATTGAGGTTAGCATCATAGCTACAGCAGTTACAATATTCTGCGTAAAACGACTGTATAAAGGTTATCAGATGCAGTGGAAGCCGCATCTTTTACCACTTTCCGGCAACCATTTCTACACTTGCAATTGTCGATTTTTCTTTTCTTCCTTCGCAACATATCAAGCAAAGAATGTTAAATCGGACGCCAAGAGATGCTGAGATTTTTTAGTACTCTCTCTCTCTCTCTCTCCCTCTGGTTCTGTATTAATGCCGACTAAATGGTCGGCTTTTCTTTAGTTATTTCCCCGAGAACTTCGTTAATATATAACATGAGAGGATCTGCCGAAAAGAGACTCTTCTCTGTTAATGGAGACTTTGAATTAATTGACTTTGAATTCGCTTTGAATAACAGTTTAGAAGTTTTTTTCAATCGAAAAAAAAATTTTGCTTCAATTATTTTAGCGCTGGCTAAATAATACTCAAATTCGCTTTGCGCTTTTCGATCGAGTTGCAAATTAAGAGAATCTAGAAATAATTGAATTTTATTAACTAAACATGCGATTAGGATGAAGGGCAATGAAAGATCACATCTTAACATATGAAGACAATTTTTACGTTTTGTTTTTTATTTTTTCTTTTAGAATTATTCTATGTTCTCTGTATCGCTTATGGTTTGTTTCTTTTACATGTACGTAATTTGTAGTATTTAGCATTTATTTGTTTATTTATTTATTTATTTATTAAAGTATGCTTTGTACATACGTATTGAACTTTGTAAATGCTTGTTAATAAAATTTCAAAAAAAAAAAAAAAAAAAAAAAAAAAAAGCTTTCGATTTTCATCAAATGTGCTGCGTATTCATTTTATTATTTAGTCGCAAATAAAAATAATCAAATAAAAAGTCGAAAATCAAAAATAATTTATATCTAATAAATATAAAATTCAAGGATTTTAACGAGGACTCCCGATACAATTTATTTGCTATGTATCAAAAATTTGCAGCTAAAGCACCTTTCGATTTAACGGATATAGCGAAATTTTCGTAAGTCTCACTTTGCCTATCTAACTATCGATTGATCTATTAATCGCAATTCATTTCCAATTTTCAGTTTGAATAAACCAAACGAATTCGAGGAACAAGACAATGAATCACGTTTCTCATTCAGTAACTCAAGTTCACCACCAACCATACCAGTGAGTATGTGTTTTACAAATTTCTTCTTATAACATTTTTAAAGTAATATTTTAATTTATAAATAATTTTTTCATTTCCCCTTTATTTTTCTGCCTTTATAGAACAATGGTCCGGAAGATGAACGCATTACAGATAAATCGTATAATCGTCCAGATTCTATAAACAATTCTTTAGATTTACATTGTTCGTCTTCTTCAAATAATAATATTAACAATAATAACAATAATAATAATAATAGTAATAATAATAGCCATCATCATCATCATCATCATCATCATAATCCTCATCATCATCAACATCAACATCATCATCATCATCATCGTTTAACAATTGAAACTTGCTCCACATCAGCCACAAAAGGTCTTTCGTCCTTGAGCAGCGGTGGCGGTGGTGGTGGTGACGTTCAAGTGATATCAGCCTCTGGTAATCATATCATCGCTGTTGCCAACCCGGCTTTAATAATGAGTCCCACCCTAGCTGAGGCCATTAGTTTAAAACGCGAAACCGATTCACCCGATTTGTAAAAATTCATTTTAACATAAATTTTTTTAATTTTTTTTTTTATTTTTTTTTTATTTTTTTTTTTTTTAAGAATTGTTTATTAAAACATGTGCAATAGTGTAAATCTTCTTTTTTTTTTTTTTTTTTTTTTTTTTTGTTTTTTCTTCTTTTTTTTTTTTTTTTTTTTTTTTTTTTGTGTTTTCTTGTTTTCTTTCTTCTTATTTTTCTTGTAAATAAAATTTTACTTAAGCTTTTACATGTAATTAGAATAGAACTGAACAACGTTTTGAATAAATTATTTCGTTTTAGTCAAGAGCATCTTAATGGTTACGTAATTGTGTAAAAAATTTACTGTGATTTCACTAAATAAATAGAATAAATAATTAAAACTAAATAAATAGATTTAATGCTCATGTCAAACAGCTCATCCTATAATTTAAATAAAATAACTGTATTTAATTTCATTTATCAGCCCGTCTTATTTATTACCTTAACGAGAGAGTCATGGAATTATGTTTGCTTTTTGATGAATATTTTGAGGACCATCGCTAGCTAGCTAATATACGTTGTTGTTCAATAGCGCGACATTTTTCAAAAATATATTTAAATCATATTTTAATACTACGGCGATTGATAATGGTCTTGTCCAAACGTTCGCACGAAAACTCGAAAACTTTCTTTGAAGTGAAAAACATATTCGCACACATTTTACATGAAAAACAATTGTAAACAAATTAGTGAACACATGGCCTCCAAATATTTTCAGTATAACTACCGCAAGCAAGAGCTCATGTTCTGGCCATGACGAAAGGTAAAAGATTTCACTTCTTCTTCCTTTCGCAGGCGAAAATGATAGAAAAGTGGCTATAAAGGGCAGGGAAACACACATACACACACACACACACACATGCACACAATGGAAGTGCTCTTTTAAATTGAGAGTGTAGAGTTGGCTAAAAAAAGTCTCCTCAGCACAGCGTATTGGCTTAAAGTTCGCACTAAGTTACAAAATAAATACTTTTCGCTATTTTACTATACTTTTTCCCTCTGGGTGAGGTGAGCCCGTATTGAAAATCCATGCAGAAATATTCGAAGGATAATTCGAATTCTAGAGTGCATTTTGATGCGTAATACCAATAATCCAAAAGCCTTACAGTTCGAAATAGGTGTACTACGGGTGTCAGGGTGTCCACTCATAAAGTCGCCCGATGCAGAGTAGTCGCATACAACATGCGATATTTACACAATGTCTGCGTGACATTGACGGACGGAATCGTGACAACTGAAAACTGGCTTTGTGCGGAAGTTTCCTTCCCACTGTGCTAACTGAAAACTCGTGCGGACGTTAACTATTGAGGTGTTACGTAGGCCTCGTCTTTTTCAAAGAGACAGCTATGACCAATACTCATTTCATTTCTCATATCTGGCACCTTAATGATAGTGAGGGTTCTCTCACTGCAAGGCACCAAGGCTGTCGCTTACACTTACACCCATTAGCGGTCAGACTTGGTCTACTTAAACATACCATATAACTATCGATCGATATTAAATAGAATTTTTTACGTTATATCTTTAGCCGAAAATTTACAGTTGCTTTTGTTCTCTTCCTCCAACATAGTTTACAGGTATTATTAATTCAAAGATACTGTAGGCGGATATAATTTCCCTATGACTAATTGATTGATTTACCAAAGTCTGACAAACAATGAATTAATGATTATACAAAATATAAGATTAGAAGAACCTTTTTTTATATTGTTTATGGTGAACTAATTTTTTATTATTTGCTTTCAAGTAGGATTATATTGGAGGAGAGGACACTACTTATGCGCAAATTATGAACATTGAAGCTTTCTGTAGTCTTCCCGGTACAATTTATTTTCTTAACCGCCCTAACTTTTTGCATCAAAGCCTCATTCATTTAATTAAGTTAAGTATAAAAAAAATTACTTTTAAAATTTCCACCTCTACGCTGTAATATATCGAACACTCCATTATTGCGATTAATGTAAACCTGCTTAACAAACGGATATAGCATTCGACATATTTATTAATATATAAATGGCAACAACGACAGAATGGCGTCAGCGATTCGCTGATGACCGTTATTATCCGCTTTACTAAAAAACTTTATAAGCTCGACACTTTACCTAGACCAGCAAGCATAGTCTATATAATTCTTTCTTTCGTCTATCGTCAAATTCATATCCACATATAATTATCAAAAATCAGAAAATTAAAAAGTTTTTTCAAATTATATTTATATATGGACGCTTCACTTGCCAAATCGATTAACTCCATAACAAACAAGAAGTTGAGAAAAATGATAAAATATTATATATAAATTATTTATTATTTAGCGATGTTAACACTTATTATTAGAAAAATTGCTTTGATATTAAAATTTAATAAAATTCCAAAAATGGAGTTAATCGATTTGGCAAGTGAAGCATCCATATAGAGAAGCATCTTTTTAATAGCCTTTATATAGTGCATTACGATCTTCAGCGGATATTTTCTGCATGTACGTACGTTAGATTTTATATCCAGTACAAAATCGGAACGGATATTGACAGATCCATGATATGCAAAAGTGTATAATACATTCAATTAAATCCGATCCATCATCCGGTTCATTGCGTCCATCATTAATCCAATCGTAAAGTTTTATTTAGAGCATTGCCCTGATTAATCTCGGATTAAATTTGGAGCTTGACTAAATCAGAGATTCATCTAGAATTAGAAATCTGAAGATTTTTACCTTTTTGAAGTGTTTTAACAAATTCGAATAAAAAAACCCACTTGGGAATGGCGACCAAACAGTAAAAAAAACCACATGATCCAAACACGATTCAGAGTTGATTTTTAAACTTAACTTTCGTATGAACGGTAAGAGGGAGTTCATAACATCGGCCGCATCCGCTGCAAAATATTCATATCAATTTACAATACAATACAAAAACACTATTACTCACCGATTTTTGTCACGAAATTTTGCATAGTGTAAATTTTTTCTCATATAACGAGTTTGTCAGAAAAAATCCTGGTGAGATGGAGCAATGCAATTTCAATAGGGTTTCGTGGACTCGTGGGCTAAAACACGTTATGTGGATCTACTTCAAGTCCTTGTACGTATTACATACGCGTTCCTAAATCTAATATACCCTGTAGCAAAGAAGTGATTAACGAGAAAGAGAAAAAGTGTATCGGCAGTAATGACTACGAAAGGGTGCATAAGTTCTAATCACATTAAGAAATATTATTCACCTGAAAAGTTACATAAAATATTAGATTCCCAGTGTATACGTGAATAATATATCGTTATTATGATTTCTCGGTACTATATACTTACATAACAAAAATATCCGACAAGGATGGGAGTATGACGTTGATATCGAATGTCATTATTAAAGTTCATCTTATAGCGCAAAGTGTTTACAGAAGAATTAAAAGCCAACTAATTTTTGCTTTTAAAGTGAACTCAAGCCAGCTACAAGATAGATAAATTGAAATGTCTTTAATAATAACTGAAGGACGAGCTATAAGTTCTCAAGTAATGTCTTCAGAAGACTTATCTCTATCTAGGATAAAATAAGTAAGAAAAGTACATTCGGCAGTGATCAACACTTATCCTAACAATGACTACAAACGGAATATATTCCATAGTATTGGGTAGGCGTGGATGATTTTTTCCATTTTTCTAGAGAAAAAAAGTGAACAGTTATGTTTTGTCTCTGCTATAGTTTACAAGGGAAAAAAATCGAAAAAGCCCGAATGTAGTCAATCGTACCCGTTTTCCAGGTCCGCCTGCGTGCAACGAGCTTAAATGTTTTCGCCAAATTCGAAGCCGATACGCTCATTTTTGCTACAATGAGTACGTTTACCACAGCAATTAACGAACAGATAGACAGACGGATACTAGTCACTTATTTGTAGACCTCATGGGATCGCTGAAGCTCGTTTCCGAGTGCTGCGAACGTTTCGGCAAAGAAATTGTAATTTTAACATATTATACTATTCAGTGGGCGTGGGCGATTTTTACCATTTTTGTGCAGGAGCTATAATGCAACTTTCTACTGTTGTATCTGTAGTGGTTTATAAGCAACGAGCGAAAGCCTTTTTTTATTTCCCAAACACATAAATGCTCTCAGAGTACGTTGCGTATATTTTAGCCGATTGGACCGATTTCACATACACACCTGCGTGCAAGAACTTCCAATGTTTCTGCCAATTTTGAATATGATACTTTTTTACTTTTTGCAACTAGAAAAATGTTTAGCACACACACACACACACACGCAGAGCCAGAGAGACATATGTAAATCCATTTAGAATATGATGCTAATCAAGAATATGTACACTTTATACACGGCCTGTATAGCATTCTTCTGGGCAAACATTGCAAACATTTAGACAAATATATATATGTATATTTTTTATTTAAAAATTTAATTTCAAAAAAAAAAAACTTTTCTTTAAATTATAATCAATTTTTATATTTATAATTTTCTGATTATCTTATATGGCAAAGTAAACAATTGAATGAATTAAACAAAAACACGAATATTATTAAGAGATATGACACACACAAGCAAGAACAAGACAGTTAACTTACAAGCAATTATTGCATATTCGCATTGTGAACATTTCACTATAATTTATTGATCTTTACGTTCTGTTTATATTTATTATTAGCTTTGTGAATGGAAATGAACAATAAAATCAACCCCTTTAGTAAATGAATCGATAATGCATTGATGGAAATGTGCGTCTAACAATTGTAAGATCAATGGCACGCGACCATTGTTTATAATTCATAATAGATTGACAAACCATAAAATATGTTCTTTTGCCGCGAATCGCTTCTACATAACACAACACATAACAGTGTTTCCCTTTTTTTCTTGGGTTTTCTTCAATAACATTTAAATTTATTTATGAATAAATTTATTCATTATATGTTAACCACAATAACGGCGAAGACATATGTTGTGAGTTTTAAGAAATGCATCTGGCTTTTGTTCTACGCAAGCAAATCATGAGCAAGTTATCATCAACAAATCATTATTTAAACTTTTAATGTTTAACAATAAGATTTTACTTTTCTCTTTATCTAAAAATTTTCTTTTTAATTCCATTTTCTTTTCTTTCTCCTTTCTTACCCGTTATTGTATTCTTAAGCAAAACGCGGGTGATTGCATTGTGCCTTGTGCATTGTGTACCAAGAAAAGAGCATTTGTGGCAGACATTTGGTTTTCATTTAAAGAAAGTCATTCAAAATATTAAAATCTGCCCTCAAAGATTTAAATCTATTTAACAAAACAGGCATTTGCATATTCCCGTTGCGAGTTGAAAAAAAGAAAGAAATAAGTCTGGCTGGGTATTTTATATCTGCCGCGGCAGATTTTTTTTAAGTTAGCTTAAATGCGGCAAACACTTTATAAACTATTCATTGTCGGTGTTTGTCTGCTTGTCTATCCGCCTGCTGAAAGTGTTCTTACAAGCTCGAACGAGTATTGTAGATCAGCAAATTTAGCTGTCAAGTCGTTCGAAGACAGCCTTGTACTGCTCAATTGAAAAATCATACATAATCGTTGCATAGATGCCTTAGAAAAAATGTCAACAATCTGATAATTACTTACATATCTACTATTTTTGTGACAATACGATTGACTTTTTTCAGCACAAGTTTTCTTAGCTTAAACAAATGCACACTGTAGATAAATACGTCGTATATGCATTTCTGTCATCACACATACGCGCACACACAATGCAAATATCAAAATCAATTATTGTGTGTTTTTTTGCAGAAATGATCTCAGTTTACGTGATGCTGTGGGTGTGTGCTTTGACCGATCTGACCCATTTTAAAAATATCTACCTGCATGCAACATCTTCCAATGGCACCGCCAAATTTAAAGTCGACATCAGCATTTTTGCGACAGACATTACACAGACGGAGAGACGGATGGATGGACATGCTTAAATAGATTTAGCATTTGATGCTGACCAAGAATATAAATGCTTTGTGAGGTCTCTGATGTTTCCTTCTGGGCGTTGTGTTTCGTTTTGACAATACGAATATATCCGTCAACCTTCGGTGATGGGTATAAAAAAAAAAAAATAAAACAATTTTGTTAAATAAAACAAAAGCTCTATCTTTCTATCTTTTTATCTTTATTTTCATTATATATTTCCTAGACATCATTTAAATGCGATTTTCAACTTTGGTTTCTTAACTACGCAGTGTCGGCAATTTTTTCTATAATCCAATCGATAAAGTGTTGTGTACTTGAGTAAACACCGGGTATTTCTGGACGGGCGCAGCCAATGCCATAGGAAACCACACCAATTAAATAATAACGTACATTATTTTTATAAGGCTGAGCAATAACAAATGAAAAGTGAATCTGTTTTATAAAAGTCTTTTTCATTATGAAAAGCAAGCACTTACTTCAGGCATCATTAATGGTCCGCCTGAATCTCCCTGACATGTATCTTTGCCGCCGGAAAGTTCTCCCGCGCATATAACCGCTTCGTCAAATTGATTTTCGGTAAACAAACGTTTTTGTTGTTGATAACGTATACGACAGACTTCATTTTCGAATACCGGTATTTGCAGTTCTTGCAAAACATTGGCGGACTGTCCACCTTCCATTGTTTTACCCCAACCTGCCACAAACGGAGTATGCCGCACATAAGATTTTTGCCTTAATTCCGATGAAAAGGGCAAGCAAATCGGTGCTATGGAATCTGTGTTGTATGAGACATTAATTATATTAATTGATTGTAGAAATCGAAAAAATAATTCGACAAAAAAGCAAAAAAAAAAAAAAACAAAAAACACACCACATCAACCTACCTGTATACTTGACATTGAAAGACAGGTATAAAACGGCAATATCGCTGTGACCGTTTCGTTTATTATATTCAGGATGCGATTCTTTCTAGAGTTGATAAAAAGAAATGATTTTGAAATCAAAAAAAAGAAGAAAAATTGGACTCACTCTGACAACAGGTATATCAACGTGACGAGCTTCAGCATCCGTGGTAAGATCATGTTCTCCCAAACGCACAAAGGTCCTATTAATTCAAAGAATGTAATGATAAAGTAAACTATATATATATATATATATATATATTATAATTATATATTTTCTCTCCCTTTAACTTACAGATCTCTTCTAATGCAATGAGCTGCAGTTAGGACATGCCGAGCGGTGATTAAAGTACCGCCACATTTAAACGGTGTACTTGAAAAACTATCATCATAGCCGATTAAGGCTATCCAAGGCCAGGCACCTTTTTTACTAACTTCACCGCCCACGATTTTCTTATGACTACTCGAAGTGTAACCACAACCCTCTTCCACGGTCGGCAAACGTCTGGGCGGATTATCGTTATCTCTTTGTAAAGGAATACCAGTAGTGGCTGTTACTTCATTAATGGGACAGCAAACATTTTGTTCTACACCGTTGCATATGTCATTTGAAGCCCTTAGGAATTCGGCAAAAGTTGCATCATTTTGCTTTTGCAGCAATTCATCGACTAACGTTTGGCATTTCTTAAGGGATATACAATTGCCTCTCTTCAGGTCAGGACCAATACAATTAATTCCTTTATTATTCACGCCATCTGTCGTAAGAGGGCGTCGAGAAGTAGTAGATGTCGTTGTTGTCGTCCTTCTAGGCGTGTTTGTTGAAAATGTTTGCTCCGTCGATGGAGTAGGTCTTAAGAAAGGATTCGAAGGATTTGTTTGTGACGTTTGTGCTGTGGTAAAAAAGGGATTTGATGGAGCTTCTGTTGTTCTTATTAATTGTTGTGGCCGTGTACAGCAAACCTGTTTGTGATAATTAAACAAACAAACAAAAAAAAAGAGTATAATCTCATAATATAATAGTTTGCGTCATATACTATATACGGCTGTTCTATAACTTATATGTAATTAATAAAAAGATACTTGTACTACTACTACTACTACTACTGCTGCTGCTGGTACTATATCCAATTATACAGAAAGCTTAGGCAATTGCAACCGCCTTAAATTTATTTAAAAAAGAAATAGAGTGCCGATCAGGCGGATATGTTGACATGAACTTATAAAGCAATTTTTTACTTATAGATTAGCTAATATGTGTATGATTTTTGCATAAGATTTTTGCTCTCATTGATTGTTCGACTCCTTTAAGGTCATATTCGGGTGTATTTTGATATTCAAGCTTATCTCAAATAGCCAACGGCAGGTAAGTGCTTCAACAATATATTCCAATTAATTAACTGATCTATCCAAACTCTCATTTTATAAGGCCTGCGTTTTGTCGCCTTCTCGCGGCTATTCACAATCATTGTAATTGTCCCGAAAGAAGCGTCAAGATGAAAATTGCGAAATGACTTTGGCTGCGAGCGCAACTACCGAAGGCAAACAATATTGAAAAGTTTGCACGCAAGTGGCTTAGTGGTAAAGCAAAATTATCGTTTGTTGTAGCGATTTTATCGCGCATTCTTTTAGTCAAGTACAACGAAATGGACCTCAGTTAAGATTCCCCTAATGAAAAATATCATACTAAATATATTAGATGGGTGGGTATGAGCCGTTGTACTTGAAAGTTTTTCAACCCTTATCTTTTTGATGCGATAAGACATTATCTAGATATTTTCATAATAATAATATTTTATGCCGTGAGACCTTGAGATCTATAAATGAAAATGACAAATTTTAAGTTCAAATATCGAAGAAAAAAAAATTGTATCCATGCGATTATCTTTTGCTGCCAGAATTTGTTTGTTCAACTTACGAAAATATGTGTACTCTGATGATTTCGTAAAATAAAATAAACTAAATTTTCATAAAACTGCAAGTCTTTGCTTTAACTCTCTTCACTCGAACTTAATATACCTTTGAACTTGAAAATACTAAGGATAATAATTCAATTTAAAATTAATTGGAAACAAGCCGAAAAAAGAAGAAGAAGGAAACGTCTTTTAACTTACAACAGGATCGCCATTAATACTGCGTGTACCACAGCTTCGCTGCAAGGCAATTACGTATTGTTGTGCCAAACGACGATTTGTTGTCTGAAATACATTTACCACCTGCGGACAATAGCTTAAAGCTACACAGGTTCCGTAATAGTTCTCAGGTGTCACGCAATACTGCGATTGCCCTAAAAAATCAAAAAAAATAAAAAAAAAATAAAAGTTAATCACACCTAAGTGTATAAATAATTGTCAAGGCTTTCTCTCTACTAAGTAATATTTCTTTTTAATTTGTATTTAAAAGGAGGAAGAAACAATAATAATTATAATAAATAAAAAAACAAAATTAAATAAAAACAAGAACAAAGTCAATAAACCGGACAATTTTATACGAACATAACTCGACTAACATGTTTCTGGTTTTCCTTCTCAAGTTAATTCCGCTCGTACGGCCAACATTATGTACTTCATGTAAATTATTGAAATTTTTTTTTTTTTTTTGATTTTTTTTTTTTGTTAGTGTCTTATTTTCATTTTCAACCAGTATTAAGTGCGTCCGGCCAGTTAACCTTGAATACTTAACTGTGTTAAATACGCGATAAGTATTACGGAACTTACGTTAAATATTAAAAAAAATAAATAAAAAATTAACTAATGGCTCGATTTATAGTCAAGGTATTCTTTAGATGGTTACATTTTAGCATGCACGCATTACTGAACACTCTTCGATTTTAAAATAAAAGGTTAGTGGACTTTTTGATTTTTTTTTTCATTTTTAATTACAGAAACTTTATCGTTTCGACTATGAAACTGATAAAATACATATGCATGGAAAACCCCATAACAAGTTCAGATATTGCCATGATTAGCATGTCATTGAAAATATTGAAGCGCACTGATAGTGCATTAAAATTGAATTTGATTACTGAATATGAATATGAAGAGCTTCTCAGACAAGGACATAAAAAGGAGAAATTTTCATCGTTCCTCACAGGAGGGATGAGGGATGAATAGTGTATATAAAACAATCTTAAAAAATATTTATATCTGACTGGAAATTGTTAGAATCCATAAGTTCGAGATAATTGGCCAGAAAATATTAAGGCAAGTTTGAATTTGAACCACTTCGACCTTAGATTTTCGGCACCCATCAATATGACGGGGTTTCGACTTTAAAAAAAGTCAGCATCAGCTCGGTCCATTTACTCGATACTCTTATGTATTGGTTTTTAATGATAATCGCTATTCTAATGCAAGAATCCGTCCCACAAGTTGAATCGAAAATTATAGACTAAGATATGAAAAAGTCGCCGCCCTTTTCCGAGGTTGTTTCAATTTCTTCTGCATTGCGGGCGTGCCTGTGAACAAATCAAGCTCAGTTTTCAAGCTGGTATGGTTAATCAACGAAAGGACTGTTTATGGCAAATTTCAACTTCTTATCTTTCTTTTTCCGCGTATGACGATCAACAAAATTTACCCGCCAAATTGACGAGCGTCCGCAAATCTAGTGTTGAAAAGAAAGTTTTCTTTTCTGATTTCAACTCTGAGTTCAAGAAATTAGAATGGAATCGTCCTTATAAACAACAAATTGAGCAACTTATGAAAAATTTCATATAACATATATCCCGTCCCAATAAAATGATACAGATTTGTGGAAGGTAGCGAATGAATATGTTCACTGCGCGCCGTCTTTTCAAGTTAATTGTCTTCGTGATCATTTCGTGAAGCACTTTTCGCATAAATTGACAAATTTCGGCAGTTTCCCGTATATGGGGTTTTCGACGAAGATAACGCAATATGCCGCGTAACTGTCGAAAGGAATCAGTTTCAAAAAAGGTGTTTGATAAAAGTTGTTGTTGTTGTTAACAAAATCTTTTTTGCAGCTTACCAACAGGAGCATACAGCCGTTAATCAAAAATACTGAATTTAAAAATATATTCATGAGCAACTGTTCCAAGCTTCCTAGCCTTTGACGAAAACATAATGAAAGTGGAGTAGAGACATCTACATTTTATGATGTCGGGCGTGAAAAATCGAACTTTTCAGCCGTTTAGCATTTCAGCTTCTCAAAAAAATAACCTTCTTTAAGGATCTTTTCAGCCAATAAAAAATGAATGTCAACGTACTTATGATATTTTTTAGTAATAAAAAATCAGACTTAATCACTTTCTTGTTCTCATCTCATCAAGTCACAAAGCAGTTTGTGTAGATAAACATACGTTATTTATACACTTGATTATATTTCTTATGTATGACTACCTTTACTGAACACTTGTTCATTAGAATTATTTTATCATTAAACGAATAAATATTTTGGCTTATATTTAATTAGCAAACAATACACTAGAACCTCGTACGGCATGTGTCCCCATATAAAAGAAATTTATATCACAAAAACTGTGTGACCGTGTCCGCATAATGAAATAGAAAGTATAAAAATGTTTTCTTGCGAAAAAAAAAAAAAAACATTTATTATTATGTATTCAATTATCAAAAAATTTCTGTCTGTCATCTATTGTTCGAAGTCTGATTATTAAAGAAAGTTATTTTAAATATGACGAGTAAGTTAATTGCTTTGGGGTCGCAAAACCGCTCATTAATTTGTATAATCTAAGTAATTGGCACAATAAGGATTTACGTAATAGAGAATGAGTCTATTGTATTATACAGGGGTCTAGTATATGTGTTTTGTTTAAAGAACAGTTTCTGTCTTCCAACTATTGTTCGTTTGTTATTTGTAAAGTAACTTACATCAACAGTGGCATAAGCCTCCGTGGCGCAATGGGTTAGCGCGTTCGGCTGTTAACCGAAAGGTTGGTGGTTCGAGCCCACCCGGGGGCGGTCATCTTTTTCTTTCTTTTTTTAATTATTTTCAAATATTTAAAAAAAATAAATTATAAAAATTAATTCGATACATAAACTAATCCGACTGACATCTACAATTAGCCAATATAAATATTTTACGGGCCAAAATTCTCACGAAATCGATCTCTGTTATCTGCGAATTTAATATCTTCATTCTTCAGTTTTTTCCAAATATAATTAAAGTAAAATTTTATGAACAATGGTCTTACTTCGTATATTCGCATTCGCGTATGTCTCGCATACATCTCTACAGGTATTTGCATAAACTCAATCAGCTCTTCAAAATGATTGATAATTTTAATAAAAAATTGCAAAAGTCTTTCAATTTAAGTTCTCGGCGATATTATCAGCTGAATCCTTTTTCAGACTTGCGCTTATTACTAAAGTTAATGAGAAAATTACATTCGGCTGTGACCGAATGTTTCATACCCATCTCAGTTATCCTAAAAGAAACTAAAAAGAAACAAACCAGAAGAATATAAATTTTCATACTGTGTAATGTTGGCTGATCTTTTCTATATTTGTAGAATAAAACTGGGAAATTTACATTGTGTGTCTATTAAAGCTATGAGAAGCGTGTAAAAAACATAGAGAGCAAAGCAGGTTTGCGCCATTTCACATACTTACACTTAGAACGAAGTTAATGTAGAAATTTAAAGTTTCCAAGCTTGTTATTATTTATATAGTATTATTGTTATTTTATTATAAAATTTCTTTCTGTCCCTATCATTAGTGTAACATTATTTACTCATGATTATAGTCTAAGTAAGAATTTAAAAAACAGAAAAATTAATTTATCAATTACTTCGCATCACATTATTATACCCTACACCCTAAGTGCATATAAAACTTGTGCAGATGCATTTAACACTCAGAGGGAGCTGAGGTAGACCTGTCTTTTACCAAACCGACCATGACCCGAATCTATTTAACCATTTCTGTCCGTCTGTCCGTGTAATGTGTAGCTGCGTTTCTTGCGTAAATGAAAGTTACAATTTTCGAAATATTTAATTGAAATTTAAAAAAAAATAAATGAAATTATCATTTTAGCCTATTAAACGAATATAGAAACTTTGGACGGGATGGGACCATTTTTCGTTCCATCCCTCATATATGTGTTCCCGCAAAAATGTGTACTTTTTCGTGTTTATACACTACACGAGTTGTGGTACAGGGTATATTAAGTTAGTGCAGACATATGTAACAGGCAGATGGGCTTAAGATAGACTGATTCAGAATCGTAATCTGAATTGATCTAAACCTGTTCATTTGTCGGATGTCTGTCCATGTACATTTTATTAAAATTTGATGAAATTTGGTACAGTGACATGCTTTCACCCCAAGACGAACGCTATTGAAAACGGTTTGGAGAGGTTCTCCCCATACAACGTCCTATTCTGAAAAGTCGTTATATCGAAAAAAATTATAATTTCCAAAATTTCTCGGCTAAGTGGCTAAGTGGTAGTATATCGGGTTTCTAAATTGGTATGAAAAGTTTGGATTGGCTGCGGAAATTTTTGAACCATATCGGCTTATATAAGGATTTTTAGTAAAGTTGATCCTTTGTAAAGCAGAAAAGTCCAAGTTCTCATATGAGATAATGAAAATTGAATTCATACATAAGTGAACTCTACAGAATTTGGACTACCTACGTCTATTTTTGGATCCCGCCCTATGTAAGGATTAAACTTGCACTTTGGGCCTTCCTTTTCCATAAATACGCAATTGAAAAATATGCCTTTATATAGAAGCAAGATATAGTTTTTGTGTTCTATGGTAAAAATTATAGTTGTGTTGGAAATGTGGTGTAGGGTATTTAATTGTCGGCTTTGCTCGTCGATAATGTTCTTACTTCTCTTTTTAGTATCTTATAATGAATGTTGTCGATGTGGCACGTTTGGACTATATAGGCCTATTTTTCGGACCCGTATCAGTGTAAGGGTTCTCATTAAACGTAAGCCTTCATGCGGCAAGAAAGTGTGACTTTTAATATTTTATCACAACATTAAGTGGCCAATGGTATTTGAAGAAGTGAAGTAATGGAGATGACCTTGCCCGAGCATAACATTTTGTCTCCCTTGTTCTCTTTTTCTCTCTCTCTCTCTCTCGCTTAGTTACAGTGAATCCATGCACCAAGTTACTAAACAAAATTCTGCGACTATTTTCAATTATTATCACTTGCAATGTAATTCATGGTTGTATATAACATACATATATGTAGATAACAGTATAATGTCTTTCGAGTCATTGTTGATAATTTAGGCTTCTTTTCCTCAATCTTAAGCTTAAGTTTTGGTAAGTCACCATTGTTTAAATCTCCCGCCATCAACCATATAATTAACTATATACACCTGGGCAGGTGTCTATATATGTAGGCATGTACACATGTTATCTTTTGGGGCCACAATTTTTGAATCATTTCGAAGAAATTCGATACACTGACGTGTTTTGATTCAAAGATGAACACTATTGAAAATGATTAATTTCGGACCATTCATTCGACCACTCCCCGCGTAAAGCCTTATTTTCAAAATCCACCACGCTATACTTTAACAGTGGGCCATGACTATATGCATGCATTGCTGATATTGTAATTTTGTGCCCATTATTTATTTATTTATTTACTCACTTGCACATGAAACTAAACTAAAATAAGTAAATCTTATGCTAATTAATATTAAAAACTGATTCAAAGTATATAAGAAGAAATAAAGAAAAAAAAATATTAAAAAAATGAATGAATAAATAAATAAGAAAGAAAAAAAAAAACAAAACATGTGCACAACTAACACAGAAGCACACCCACGGTCAGTGCAGATGCAAGTTGCAAGTGAACCCCTAAGCCGATTACATTAAACAACACCAGTTAATTTTCGAATCATAAAGAGATGTTAAGAGTCCAAGTTACTTCAAGTGCGACTTGGGCAAATCGCTCGTAGCGATTGCGAAGCATAATTATTTTGGTAGACTTTAAAAGAGTCCGATATTGGGATCAAGTGATAAACAAGTTTCTGCAAACTACTCGGAACCGATTAAACAGTTCATAATGAAGATAAAGTGCCTAGAGAAGAGATTAGAGACATTAAAGTTTATCTCATCAAATCTAGTATCGTTTGTTAACTTAGTTAAGATGGAAACATTAAGAATAAATCTACGTTTCTCAAGTGATGGTAAGAATAACATAAGCAATCTATTTTCATAAGTAAGAAGAGAGACAAGCGGGTACCCAACTCTAATGCCTATGAGCAAGCAGCAAGAACTGCTCTTGAATGGATTCAATTGACTCTTCATAACACCTATAGGAAGAAGGCCACAGAACAGAGACATAATCAAGTATTGGTGTAACTAAGTACATGTATAGCTCTTTTGTAAAGTAAGGATCCTTTAGATCTTTCAACCATCTCGTAAAGAAACCTAGGGCGGACCTAGCTTTACTTAAAAGAGAGCTCAATGTGCAAAGTAAAGCATAATTTTTAGTCGAATAGAACTCCTAAATTTATGAATGAATCTACCTGTTCCAACTTGTGTGAATTAATGAAATCCTGAGTATTGAATGACTCCCGACTTGGGAGAGAAAACTTCTTCCATTTTTTTAGATTTAATTTCATAAAATTTTACGACCACCATGTAACCAAATTAGTTAAGTCAATTTGAAACTGATACGATTGCGATTCTAACGAGGGGCAAGAATCGTCGGAGAGATTAAATAGAAGGAGTTCTAGGTCGCTGTCTTGACGGACACCATACAAAACCCTGAACGATCTGTTATGCAGATAGGAGCTTATCCATTCCACTACGTACAAGGGGAAGCCAGAAAGCCTGCAGTTTGAAATTCACTAAGTTATGGTTAACTAAGTCAAATGCTTTACTGAAGTCATTATATACGACATCCTTGCGAGCGGAGCTAGAAAAAGCCTTAAACGCATTGCAAACAAACTCTAAGAGATTTGTAACAGCTGATCCTTTTTTCAGAAAGCCACACTGGAGTGGAGGAATATAAGCTGAGTAACAACTCTCAAAAACAATTTAGACATTCATCTTGCCAATGCTTCTATAGTTCACAAAGTGATGCCTGTTTCCATATTTATGAAGCGGAATAAGGAAACTGCTCTACCATCGCAAAGAGAACACACCTGATTTCAGTCTTTGAAATAACACCACATAGCACGTTAGAGCTTAGGGAGGTATACATGATGGGATGCCATCTGGGCCAGGCGCACAACAATATTTTAGAGACCTCAGACCATGTAAAATAAAATTTTTTCGAAAGCATTCAACAAAGAGATTTAAGGTTTCACTATCAGTATCAGAGGACTCGGAGCCATTGAAAAAAATCTGCGAGAGATATATGAAGATTTCTTTTTTGGAGTTGACCAAATTATAAAAATATTGAGAACTCACAAGCGGTGAGGATTTTATCAGTTGAAAGTATCTGCAATCACATTGGAGATTGAGATAATTAAATCGATACCGTGCAGCAAAAAAGGCGAAATGATCATAAGATAGTCAATTCACATATTTCTCTCTATCCCTTCCTCGTACGCACAAGAAGATTTCTCATAGATGAAGAAGATGAGGTACAGAAATTACATTTTTAATTCAATCCTACAAGTTTAAACTTGATATTGGCTAAGGGCACGAATACGATATGAGCAGTGCACAACAATTTCCTTTTGTTTTCATTCATAATTCGATCAATTGTGACAGATACCCATCTAAAATTTTGGTACGAACTTAAATCCAAGCTTTGTGAATAACCGAAATAAACTTGCGTCGGTTCACTTTGCCGACACATCCACTGCCCGGTATTTATATTCATTAACTGTTGACGGCATATATCCATAATTCATTTAAGCGCAAGGACTATTTTCTCATGAGACTACGACTGTTGTCATTCTTATTATCAAATTGAGAAGTAAGCAAAATTAAATATAATTTTTATTTGATGATAAAAATTTCGTTTCGTTTTTATTTGAATCTTATTATCGTGAACACAGAAAGAAGAAATCACATATATCTAAACGATTTGTATATATATTTGTAGCTATAATAGAAATAATTTAATAAAAAGTTGAAAAATAAAATTTCATCCATCCCACAAACAAACTATCAAGTAAGTAAAGAATGAAAATAATTTTCAAAAAAATATATAATCGCATGCCTAAGTCAAAAAATAAAAAAAAAAACACCAATGAAGAATATCTGAGATGTTGTTTAAAGGATGTAAGTGCCCCCGTTAAAGTGTTTCAAGTGCAAGATTGCGCGTTTTCCCGAACTTATAGTTACAATAAAGACTTAAGACATAAACTTTTTGATCTGAGTAACTTACAGTTTTGATAAAGACTTAAGAAACGAACTTGTTCTAATAAATTATCCGGTATTTCAAGAGTTGCCAGCACAAGAACACCAAATATTAAATAAATCATTGTGCGTGCGGTTAGATTCAAATCGAAACTAATCGCGAAACGCACACAAATTTTCTGATTTAAGGCGAGCATTGAATGCTTCAAATTAAAACTTGTACTTTGTTTTTCTTTTGTTCTTGTTGTTTTTTTTTGTTTTAAAACAAAAATTTTGTAAAATGACTGGCATTATTTGGTGTTGTGTTATTTAACTTTTTTTGGGAAAATATTCGCTACTGCTTATGGAAATTTGGAATTCGTTTTGGTTGTTTAATTGTTAATGCTGTTGTTTAGAACGTTTAAATATGAAATACTTTGCGTTAAGAATTGAAACGAAATTAAACAGGTTTCTTTTTATATTTTCATTATTATTAAATTTACTTGATTTGAATTGCTTTGCAATATAATAACAGATAATTGAAATGTTTGCTGCATTGTGTGTGTGTGTGTGTGTGTGCATGTGTGTGTGTATATATGTAAAAATCAATACAAAAATATTTACATTACATAGACATTACGTCCAAATTGCATAAATCAAATTTAATCGCTATTGTTTCGTTATAAACGATTTGTTTCTTCTTATTTTTTTTTTTTTTTTTTTTTTTTTTTGTTAAAAATTTTTTAAAAAAAAAATAAAATTTTTAAAAATTTTTTTTTGTTTGTTTGTTTTTTTTTTTTTTTTTTTTTTTTGGTTAAAACTTTTATAAAAACCATATCAAGTCTTTAAAAATGTGTGTGTGTGTGTGTGTGTGTTTTTTTTTTTTTTTTTTTTGGTTACCTTGTTGACGGTTGAAACGCTGATTTAAGACATCAACTATTAAACATGCGAAAACAATTAATGTTAAAAATAAATTTTTACTCATTTTGATTATTTGAACGTTTGTCAGATATTCGTGCTAATTAACTTTGTAGTTAAACAATTTTTTCAAATTCTTTATTTCGTCATTTAATTAAAAAAAATTAGTAAAATAAAATTCAGCACTTATTATTACACTTGTTTTAATCTCTTTAGACAATTTTGAACTGAACTTGTGTTTTCGCGAGCGCTTACATTTTAATACTATTTCTACGGATCTCAGTTTACTGTAAAAGAAGCGTCCGTTTTATAAATTTATTCTCGGCTCTATATGTTTATGTGCGTGCGTGTGTGTATGTTTTTTTTTTTTTTTTTTGTTTTGTTTCTGTTTTTGTTTGTGTATGCATGTGTGCTTTCCATTTCTCACATTATTTCATATATAAACAAGCATGTCTAGTAAGGAACAGGTGGGACTATTTACTATTTATATTTTCAATAATTTTGTTATTTTTTTTGTTTTGTTTTTCTTCACACAGATATGAATTTATTATTTGTGTTCTCTGTTACGCTTGATTGCTACCTTCAACATGTTAACGTTTGGCAAATGACCACTGCCATCAGTATATATATATGTGTGTGTGCTTGTGCCTGTGTGGCGTCAAGTTATCTATTTAATATGCAAACAGTTTAGTGACACTTTAGTCACACTGTACTCATATGCACTACATTGAGATAATTCGTTAAAAAAAAATGTTCAAGTTTTAGAAATTTCTTTAGAATAGAAATGACTCAAACGGATATTCTGTCCATGTGAGCGATTTTTTAGATATTAATCAAATTAATATTAACCCTAATCATACCATATTGTCTTTTTTTTATTTTTTTTATACCAAGTCATATCACAATGGGACTTTCAATCACTTGTGACTATCTTGAGAGATAATTAAAATCTTATCGCCTTCATTTATAGTTTAAATTCGCAAACATAAAATGTTATGCATAGGCACTAAAATTTTTCACTTCGATTTATGTAAAAAACACAAAAACACCTTTAAATGGTAAAAAGAAATTCATGTACCGATGCAAGTGTTCTGCATAAATTTTGGTTTAGCTTGTTACTCGCAAGGAAATAATCAAACGTGATAATGCGATTACTAATCTGAAATGGTATGCACAGTTCTTCAACGCATTTCTTTCCTAGACGTTGTCCTTGATCTAGTCTTTCCTATACAAAATACGCGATTCCCTTTCTACCTCTGAGACTATGAGTCACATCGTGGTATAATAATAGACACTTCGTAAACAGTTAGGTCGAAATTTAAATATATATTTTTTTTACTGTTAAAGTTTATTGGAGATAAGGTAGAAAAAAAAAAAAAAATGTCGGAAAAATAAAATGAAATAATCAAAAAATTTAGGTTCAAAATTCAAAACGTAAACGTAAGATTAGCAAATTTGCATTACCGTAGTCGGCTTAGGTCGTGTTTTTTTTTACATTTAGAAATAATTCTCAAATTTCTTATTTTCAAAACTTGCATAGCAGGTGTATAAACATTAACTTTTATAACTTGTGAGGACAACGATTTCCGATGGCGGTTAAAGTGACAAAAAAGTGATGAATTCAACGAGCGCCAGATAGGAACACGTTACGCATATAATATATGTATTCCAAGTCATACTTCTATGTCACTTGACAGTACTTCATTGATCATTTTGCAATTTGGTTTTGGTGTTTCGGTAATTGTGAACGAACGCTTCCGCATATTCAAAACAACAACAAAAATTTTTCAATTTTAGGCCCATAACGCAGGTAAAAGGAGAACATTTGCAATTTTTGTTGACATTGTTGCTCAGACCTCACATAAAGTAAAAAACGTTTCGAGATAAAAATTTCTTTTTCTTAATAAATCTATGAGATATCGAAGTTTTGCTCTCGCTAGACGGGCACATATGCGAATAGATAGAAATGCTTAAAACGGCTCCATTAGCGATTCCATCCAATAATCTTTTCATTTTTAATTTAAAATTCCTCTAGCAAGTATATATTATGACCTTGAATGAGTTTATGCAGCGTCCTGCAAGACTTAACTAGAACGATAAATATATCGTATCTGAAAGAACTACCTTTAAAGTGGAAGAGACTTTAAATAAATCGACATTTATACAAAGCGAAAGCCTTCTGCGGGACACTGGTATTTTTTCTGATTAATTCGATGGATAATGCTATTAACTCGGGATGCACGATCGGGATGTCCGTAATTTAAACCATTACCATTGGCGATGAAATTAATTATCTATAGCGTTCTTTAGGGCGTCGAAAAAAAACGTTACCAGCCACAAATGATTCCATTGCGGTGAAAAACGAGTCGAATATCCTAAAAGTTATTATATTGTGATTTTTTTAAGACATTTACGGTCGGCCGCATATGGGAAAAGATTCATCCAGGAAACGTTAGCAGCAATCAACTATCTTCTCCGCCGTCATCAGAAAACATTACTCCCTCTGATAACCATTGATTTCACTCAATGACTTCTAATGCGAATACTCTAGAAAAGTGTCCGTTCATAAATAGTTTCTAAGTTCGTTTTGGCACACCTAACACTCAAAACGTGGCAAAAGTGTGTACATACCGTACTCCGACACATCAAAAATGGGAAATAGAGATAATTCAATAGGCGAGCAAGACCAAAGATTATGTAGCTCTTTATCGAAATTTGACAGCGTGCGGACGAGCGCCTGGAATCCGATTTTATTGATTTCTAAGCTTTCTATTTACTACAATAAAATGAAAGAATTTCAGATCAAGTTGTCAAGGCATCGAGAATGGAATATTAGTTTCAAGTGAGGAACATTTAAGCGATCGTTTGGTAAAACTCTCTATAATTTGTAGAGTTTATGATGCGTATCTCTATTCGCTACAAATAGTTGAAGTCTTTAATATGTCCACACAATCGAATACATCAAAATATATTTTATTAACGATAAACGTACCAGTCGAACCAGTCGCTAAATCGTGATAGTTTTGCGCTTTAGCCGTTTAGAAGACTTTAGAAAATGTTTACATCAAGTTCTAGTTTAATATTTTTAATGGGCCATAAGTTACATTGTTTTAATTATCTTGGGTTCGTTTTTGAGACAATTTTTTCATTAGAATTTCAACAAGTCTTCGCAGCCGTTCTTAACGAGTTCTTACCCAATAACCGCAATGTATTGCAAATTAAAGTTTTTTGTCCTTCCTATGCGTGGCTAAACGTGAAGCGGAGTCACTTTCAAAACGCAAACACAGCCATCATCTAAAAATGTGTTTAGGTTAAGTTTCAGTTTCATCAGATGGACATAGGGTTTCAAAAAAATCAATTTTGAACCTAATGCTTAGGTTCAATATGTAGAAAAACGGAAAGGAAAATCTCGTATAGTTCCATTGTTCCGATTAAAAAAAATTGCAGAGAAACCTAACGTAACCTAAATTTTATAATGCTCAACTGTCCTTAACTCGTACTCTAAAATGCAAAGAAAATACAAAAGAAAATTCTCCTGCTAATCTCTTTTTTTTTCTTTTTTTTTTTTCATTAATTCTAATCTATATAAAGAGGTCATTAAGTGAAAGTTGGCGAATTACATTAATTCAATTAAATGGAATTTGATATGAATTTTATCCATACAATGTAAAAGAGAAAAATAGAGAAAAAACGAGAGAGATTACGATCGATAAGTGATGGCAAACCAGGCCTATATAATAGAAGGATAGTACGTGATATTAAAATTTCAAAACTTTCAATTTTATGTAAAATTGATAGCAATGACTTTGAAAAAATTTAGTTTAATTGTAGAAATAATTTTAAAAGGCGTAGTAAAAACAAGTAAGAAAATTATATACAGTGGTAACCGAATCGTTCATACCCGTCATCACCGTCACCCTAACAAAAGATTAAAATAAAAGAAAAAAAACTACATTTTCATACTCTATAATATTGGGTGGGCATGGCTGATTTTTTGTGTCTGTTGCAGTTTATGAGTAACAAGCGAAGAACACGAGTATCAAAGGTTTTCTCAGTTTTTGTTGCAGAGACAAATGGGCATTATACACGTGCCATTTGACCGGTCTTGGTCATTTTCAAATTCTTTTGCAGATTTGTAGACGATATCTGCATTTTGGCGGACGTGAGAATGCTTACCACTGATATTACAAAGTTGGACAGACGGACATGCTTAAGTACATGGCGGATTTGATACCGGACAAGGTTTTATACTTTTTATGGAATCCGGCTTTAGTCTGCTTAGAAAGGGATTGACAAAAAAATCAAATTTTAATGCACTATAATAATGAATAGGCGTGGTCAATTTTTTCCATTTCGAACAGGTACTATATACGTTCAGGTTGGAAGTGATGAGCAAAAATACAATTTCCTCATTTCTTTTGGAAAGCTGAGGTGGTCTTAGTTTACGTGATGCTGTAGGCATATCTGTTAACTGATTTTGCATATTTTCAATATGAAACAGATTGCAAGAACTTCCAGTGTTTCAGCCAAAATTAAACATGGACAGACAGACGGACAGATGGACAGACGCAACTGATTAAATCGATTAGGACTTGGAAGTTTTTTTCTGGGCGTTGCAAACGTTCTAACAAAATAAATATATCCCTCATCCTTCGATGATGGGTGTAAAAAAAAAAAAAACACAACAGCTCTTGCGGGAAACAAATACCTTAAAAGCATTAATAAATAATTATGATAGAAATGTAAAGCTTTTGGGAAGCACCTTGAATTTCTATGATTCTATTTTACACTTAATATTATTATTCACTTAATACTTTTATATAAACGTGTAATAAGTATTCGCATCAAATATACATATCATGCCACTATATCTTACAAATGTTTTCGTTCGTAATAAGAAGAACGCCAAAATACGCACTCAGTGCAATACATAATAAACAGGAACAAAATGCATATTGTTTCGAAAAGAATCTTTTCTCATTTCAAAAAGACAGTTTATTGGGCCAGCTGGAAGTCTTCGAAAGCTATTAAATATTACTACAAGATGACATATTAAAAGCATTAAGTACCAAACCCATCGACCCAAGCACTCAAAATAAGAAAAATATTATATAATAGAAGACGCACCGATATTTCAGATCAAACTAATTGATTTTATAGCCTGGTGTAGTAGTAGAAGTAAAAATGATAAACTTAACAGAGAGAGAGAGAGAGAGAGAGAGAGAGAGAGAGAGGGAGAGAGAGAGAGATTTGTTATTCTGGATAAAGTTTTAAAA